GTGAAGAGTTCAGCTGTGTGGCAACTCTGCAAAATGCGCAGCGAACCCTCAAATTCTTATCTGGGCAAATGCAATAAGAGTCAAATACACGACGACACACTAACATATAGCAGTGGGAATTTATAATGGCAATACATGGGAGTACATGTGCTTAATATCTACAGCTATCTTTGTTGGCATTGTTGTTGTTAATGTTGTAGTTGTTGCTGTTGTTGTTGTTGTTGTTGTTGGTATCATTTAGCTTGTTGCCAAAGGCAACGTGGCCAGACCACAAAATGGTTCACCATCTATTGACAATTCAATTAGCGTTTTGAAATAATTTCTTGATAAGCATGGCTGTGGGACACATTTTCGGGTATACCAAAGCCACAAGTACAACCACCTAATAACAAACTGTAAAAGTTAATAAAAACACACTAGAAACCTATGAAAGCAGAGTCTGCATGCCCTTGCCCAGAGAGGAGGAGACATACCGTCATATGGCTTGAGTTTGGACTGTGAAGATATTCAAGTTTTTTAGAACTGTCAGATATAGTATATTTGGAATTTTAAATAGGTTAATTTAAAGCCATTTCGAGCTATTTTAAACATGCTGTGAATATATGATTTAATGATTTAATTAAATTACTTACTATAACCTACCACGCTATAGGTAGATTGAAATTATGGCGAGTTCCTTTTGTTTGAGCGTATAACAATTACTGTGGCGTCAAGTTAATTATTGGTAATTAGTAGAGCCAAACCAGGACTATAAAAGCGCCGAGACCATCTGGGAGAACTTCAGTAGAAGTTGTAGATGACAAGCATAATGGAGAGAATTATTTTACTGCTTCTCAGCGTCACTTGTCCAAGTACAATGGCCAATAGCCAATATCTGCAACCTGTGACTTCGCAAACAGAGTCGAGCAATCTGAACAGCCAGAGGTACCCTGGAACTGCCATAGTATACGCACGTGTGCAATGGATTTGCCTGGGAAAAGTGTGGGTGCCGAACGCTATGCAGTCGGGCGATCTTATCTGGGGTGCACAAATTGCAATTTTGGGCTATACCCTGGCACTGCTAGTCTTCGGCCTCGAGTGGGTCCTGAGGCGTGCCCAATTTGCATAAATTGCACTGCTTTCACACGCTGCAATTTGGCTATGTAAATCACTCTTTATCAAACATTACAATCATGCGCTATACAAACTTCAGTTTCGCTGTGAGAAAGTTCAGTTCCTTGGAGAATGTGCGATAAGTTGGCGGACTGTGCAGTCATAGGAGCTAGCTCAGCGTTAAAACTAAAGGTATTTGCTTGTGAATGTGTAGAAATAAAACTCATTCTATTGCTAATGCAAAAAAGGTGTGCTATTGATGAATAATAATATCAAGCGGACTTTGTAGGCAGCTGTCTTAGGACTGGAATCGGTCTAATACCTTTATTTTAAACAATTTTCGATATACTTGACGTCAAGTCACATTAGTAAAAAAATAACTTACAAAGATTTTTAGAAATCGAAAAAGGATTTTGGTGGAACGTGATAATACATTCAGAACGGACTTTAAAAGGATTGACTTTACAGAACCTCAAATGAACCCAGAACATTTTTATTTTCATAAAATTCGGAATAAACACATTTTGAAGAAATATCATTGGAGCTCTGTTATGCAAAGCCTTAGTTATATAAATGCTTTGCTAACATTTTTAAATTATTGCTATTCACATTTTTCTGTGCATCAAAAATATTAAAAGCTGTAAATAAAATGATTTTTAATAAATGAATTTAAATAAATAAAAATTATATATATCTAAATAAACTGTGAATTATTTGGAAAAAGGAGAAAAAATTAAATTAAATACTACATATATTGAAAAATATATTAAATATTGAATGCTCCGATGAGCAGATATGTTATAAAATAGAAGCGTAATTTCATAAAATTTTCCACCCGATTTCCCAGTTTTGAATTCCTTATGCATGACTTTTAAAAATCGTTATAATTGCTCAGCATAAAATTCTTGTTTTCTCGTTTATAATATTATCAGAAATAGAGCTGTGAGTTTTTTTTTTTTTTTTTTTTTTTTTTTTTTTTTTAAATTAGCGCGTGGCATTGTGAAATTGGGAATCATATCATTTGTATATGATTACTTAGATAAGAGCTCTAAAATAGATATGGAGACCTGGATCGTGCCTCTGAGTGCTATGAATCACAGATGTATATTATTATGCTATACATGTGAGTATATTCAGATGCGCATTGCAGATAGGATTTTTATCAAAATTAGGCGCTTTAAAACTTCCCCGAGATTCCATATTGTTCTAACTGTTATTTGACATCAAATTGACTGTGCTGACTCATCCTGAAACTATTGGCCCAGCTAGAACTCTGGCGCTATTAGGAGCTCTGCTAATTTAACCCTTGATTGCCCATTATTTGTTCAATTGTGTACCTAAGGCACACCTAATATTAACCCCTTGGCATTAATAACAGACCCTCTTGCATTAGCTTTATTAAAAACGAAGCGTGGCCTCTTTGCAGTGCCTCCGTCTGAAATCACTTCAACTCGACAAAGACACTCGACCAGACATTGAATTTATTGTAGCTGCATAACTGTGACTTACGATTTGGCTCTAGTTTTCACTGAAGTGAATTCGTTATTTATGAAATAATTTATCTGCGCCGTGTAACAAAAAGTGATTTTGTATTTTATAGCTGTGCGCGCTCTCTAAATGTGCATTTACTAAGTCATAAAAAGACGTAAATTACATATAAATCGTAAATCGCCAACGGGCCAACAGGCCAACGGACCGTAAACTACAGTTGATCGGGTAAAACTTGTTTATACCCTATTATAAATTAAGTAATATATTTTGCTCTCTAACTTGGACCATTATTGTTTTTATGAGCTAATTAGGGGGTTCCCAGAAAATATATATCAACCTGGGGAAGTAAACTTAAAAATTATTGATGATCTTGAGACACACGCAATACTTATTTTTTTTAGTACACAAATATCTTTTAAATTTAAAATCAAAATGATTTAATAATATTTGTATATTTATATCTGGTGTATCTATATCAAATTATACATTTGTAGATTTGTTACTTTTGACTGACTGATTTGAATAGGTAGAATATAAGATTTCCGTTAACATTTAACATCAAATGATTTATAATGAATTAATTAAGTAGTTGCATATGTATTCATAGGTATAATAGGAATGGCATTAGCTTTACATTTCTGACAATAATTAAAAGCCTATCAGAAATCTGATTCGATCGTTAAAACGTAGTAAACATATTTGCATATTCATATGCGCACTATAAATTGCTTTTCGCTTAATTAAGTTTGCAAACTTTTTTCTATTTTTGGTCAGCACTTGGATCTCTGGTCTTTGGTCTCTTCCTTTGTCCCCTTCCCCTTTGAAGATGTGAAAGTCATTTTCACAATTGACCAATTTGAACTGAAGAGGTTCAAACATTTCTCACACACTCAGCAATGTCCCTCGGGCGCTGCAAATACCTCAAGTGTGCTCAAAGCACTCGAAAGTGTTGAATAATTCAAATGGCCTGCAGGGGAAGAGTAAGAAGAGCTCTGAGAGAGACGAAGACTCTGGCTAGCGCATACCGGAAAATAAATATAAATAATTTGCGAAAAGCTCATTTAGAACAAATAAATTCGAGTTATGAGTTGGACAGACTTTACGCATGGCTCACCCAGCAGAAAACAGAAGATGGAGAGAACAGAATGACAAATATTGTAAATTCATGCCCAAGGAATTTCAGACATCTCAGTTATTTATTTCGGCACATTAACAACGCGGAGACAGGCCCAGACACGAGCCCAAACACAAGCCAAGCACTCAGGCCTGGGGGTTCGCATTTAATATTGATTGTAAAATAAATTGAAATTAAAAACAAAAACAAAAAAAAAAAAAAAAAAAAAAAAAAAAAAAAAAAAAAAATGAATATAAAATAAAAATGTACAAACATATCCTGATCTCCCATTTTCAATGAGTTCGCTTTCGCACAAACAGAATAATTTAATTAGCGAACACTGTTGGCACTTTATAATTATTTACTTCAAGTTTCCGTTGTACTTGCAAATATTCCCTATAATAACCTGCTTAAGTAAAGGGTATGCAATACGGATGAGCTCGGAAGCTCTATGTTTTAGAGCGCCGAACTTGGATGGTATACAATGCTTCCAAAGACTTGATTGATAGGCAAATAGTATTTCTAATTTATGAATGCGAAACACCTCTTGTAGTGGCATAGCGAAGAAATGAATATGAACTCTAATCGTAAAGGCAACAATCAATCCAAATAAATATGATAAAGAAGTTCCATTGAATTGCTAAGCGTATTCCGTTCACAGGGTATATGCAAGAGCAGGTACTTTTGTGATTGCTTCTTTTTATTGTGATTGATAAATTTGGCAAATATTTGCTATTGCCCAGTGCAAGTGTCAATTTATATCGTATTGTATTTTCATTTCCATTGATATTTTTTAGGGCAATGCCAGTCGAATAAAATCGATAAAATACTTGGCATAACTTTGATGGGTTATCACCATTAACTGGGAATGGGGCTGGGTGGAGTTGGGTTGGGTTTGTTTTGTTCCAACTAAATTGTTTACAATGACATAACTTCTGATATAGCTTGGCAGCTTTTTAAATACGTCGGAATGTTAAGTAGATGAGTATCAAATGTTACGTTCCTCAAATAGTAGGCGATAATATCAATAAACACGAATTCTATACGAATTGCACAAAAAAATACAATGTAACGAATCGTTGGCGCACTTCATTTAGATAATATTACACACGAGCAGAGAAACATATGTTTCCTTGTATATATGTACTTGTTTACATAGTGGAACTTCCCTTTCGAATCGACAAATTATTATAGCAAGACCTCTCAAGGAATAATTGCCCAAGCTTAGCAGCTCAGATGAGTCTTAAGCCTCTTGGCCTGGCCTTTTACTTGGCATATTAATTATTATTTGGGAATTACTCACCATCAGGAGGTAAATAATCTTGGCATAGACCGTAAACTGTGGTAACCTGAAAGTAAACGACAAGCTTAATATGTGTATACAATTATAATTATGGTATATAAATTAGTTGAACGTGTTTTCAATTTATTTTTATTTTCGAATTGTACTTCCCCGTTGGGACTGTAATTTAGATGTCACTTGACAATTGCCTTTTACGAACTTGTTTAATGAAAATGCAGCAGAAATCACGTTGGGAATTTGAAATTTATGCTACTTTTTCAATTAGCATTATTTTTCTTTTATTTCAAACAGATTTTTTGACGGGTTTTCCCCCAGACTCCAGTACTGCCGCCTTGTTGGGTAAGTCGAGCACATAACTTAAGCTGCTGGCGCTAACACCCACATCTAATAACAGTTATGACAAGACATCAGACCACAAAGCACAAGCACGTAGCCAAATTCGTTTCTCAACCTTAAGCCAGTTGGTCTGACCGACGTTTTGACGTTTGCTAAACGGTTCGCCCAGTTAAATTCTAAACAATAAATTCACTGGAATTTATTATGCAATTAGTTAAAAGGCTGCCACAACAAAGAGCATTAATTTCACACTGACCGACAAAAGTAGCGCACAAGGAGTCAAAAGCCTCAGCTGTTGCTCCTGTCAGCGGAAACCAAAGCGCCAAGGCGCCGCGGTAAGACCTCGGAACTCTTATGTAATCGAAATTGTAGGCAAGTGTTGGTAAATAGGTCGAAAAATTGGGTATGCGAATATTTAATACAGAGAATTGATCTAAGATAACTAGTTAGCAAGTTTGTAACTATAAGTTAGCTTCTTATCCTATGGCTGACCCAGTCTCACTGCTCTCAGTCTTATGTATTCAACACCTACAGAAATTCACAAATTTGTAGCTTAAAACATGGATGTTACTTGGGCGTACTGTGATGATGAATTGGAGTAGCAAAAAGTGTTTTTAGACTAGACTGATGAATGAGCAGAGGGCTGAAATGAATGACCTTTGAATTCTGTGGAAATAGAATTGTATGTCGCTTGTGTCGTGGAGTGGTGCTGTAGCTTAGTAGATATATTATATATTCGATTTTGCGGAAATTAAAAAGCCGTTTCTATATAATTATATTTAACAAACTTTTAGTTTTAACTTATGAATAGACTTTGCATAGTGTAACAGAAAGTCAAAGAGAGGAAAGCGAGGAGGAGATCTACTCTCACGCAAACGCAACAAACTTGGCCGTAGAAAACTTGTTAGCCCTACCCACATGCAAACTACTGACACACTTGGCCAATTGGCCCAGAGTTCAGTTAAATGAAACGAGGCTCATCGGGATTTGCTTTGAAAACAACTTTAATATAACTGCATTTGCAAGATAATAGTGGAGACGAGGCGACGCTGCCTGGCCTTGGCATTGCTTTTCCCATAGTAGTTCGTGTCTTTTATGCGATAGTTGCCCGGGCGCAGATAGACAGGAATGCTCTTGTCCTCCACATGAAAGTTGCGCAGATCGTAGTAGCCCTGGAATATGAATATCGTTAATTCTGTCCCCTCTTGAAGTGGAGACCCACCTACAGCTTTCATGGGACAGATGGCTGATAGATTTCCGTACTTGCGCACATTGCGAAACCAGAGGCTGGGCAGGCTGCCCGCCGTATGACTTTTGACTGACTGACARGTGTCTACATCGTAGTTGAACAGAGTGTGGTAGTTCGTAGAGTTCTCGATCTGGAATTGCACAGTCATGGACGTGCGCATGGTCGGTGGGAGAGATCGATCTATATAGACATCCGCATTCAGGTAGCCCTCAGTCGTCAGCCAACTCTTCATTCTTGTAAAGTAGTTGGTATTGTGCTCGTAGCTGACGTTTGTGAACTTACTGCGTAGCGCCACGGCTTCAAAAGCTAAATTATATGGAAATCTGTGTTCAATTCCGATATTGATTTAGTTGCACTTACTCAGCGCCGTCTGCAATGGAGTTGTAGCAAACAGCAGGACGTGAACCAAGAGCAGATGCATGACTGCCTCATCGCTCGTGTAAAGAATCAATGAAAATGTGATTCGCTAAATGGAAAATTACCACTGCTCGTAATGAGCCAATTATGGGAAATCAGTTCAGTATTAGATTAGGGAGAATCTTGATCAGTAATTACTTCGATATTGCCTATGTTACCCGAAGGTAATGAACCATATCGAATGAAGCTCTTTAGCATTGGCTTTAGTGATTGGAAAAACTATATAATAATTATGTATAATAATATGTAAAATCCCTATATTGAGTCTTATATACTTGGCATAAGACTTACTTGAATGTAACTCTAGAAACAACTCAGAGTTAGATTTAAATCAATTTGCCTATAGCTCCATAATTTGCCACGGTTTGCTATCTGTAGATCTGTTCAGGCTTCAAGCATACTTAGACCAGTTTCATATATAAAACTCGAATCGAAATCAGCTGGGCAAAATCTGTAAATATTTCGCAAAATAACTGCACAAACAATTTTCAGAAACTGTTTGCTGCCAACGGCATTTTGGCGCAGTTGACAAGTCGATGGGAGCAATCAATTGATTAAGTGTAAATCTAGCAATCAATCAAATGCTTTCAATCAGCCAATCAACAGCCTCAAATTGAATGACAACATGTTGACAGTTGTATAAACGAATTGAGGTGCTGCCAGCTAAAGTTTTCGGTCAGGTGTGTGATTAAGTGTACGTGTGTGTGTGTGTGTGTGTGTGTGTGTGTGGGAGTGTGAGTGTGTGTATAGACCCCCCATACCGAGTTAAAGCGCCTGCCACATAAACATTCAAGTTCAATTTCTTTGGCTCTTCGGCAGAGGCAACTGCAGCTGACAAGCTAACCGTAAAGCAAACTGAAAGTTGTTGCATCTAAAAGATTTTTTTTTCGTTGTTGTTGTTGTTGCTGTTGATGTTGGTGTTGGTGCTGTCATTGTCGTTGTTTGTCAAAGCGGCGTTTAATTGGAAACACAGTTGGGTGTTGGTTTTGACCGGTCCATGTTTTTTTTTCTAGCTTCAGCTCCAGCTCTAGCTCTGGCTCTGGATGCTGCTGTCTTCTTTTTTTTCAACGGCAAAACTGTGAAGCGCAGACAGCTGATGGATGCGGACATTTCGTTTTTTTTTCGAGGCCAGGCCAACGCAAACTTGTTTCTCAAAATAAATGCTATATTATTTTTTTTCCACGGCTTCCAGCCGACTTGAAAAGAAATGCTCAGCAGTGTGTTTCTGTTTTTTTTTTCCTTTTTTTTTTACTCTTGATTGCTCCAACTGAATTCAGAGCTTGCAGTTTAATTGCAAATTATTCAAATGCTCCACAGACGGCGGCAAGTCGCGCTTTGCAGCTGCCGTTGCCGTTGCCATAGCCGCCTGCTGCTGTCATAACCAGTCGCCCCACAGCCAATGCCACGCCCCGAACCCTCCCCTGACTCAATTGTCGCTTTGCAATTATGTCGGAAATTAACAACAGCGCCCGCAACTGCCGACCCAAAAAGGCAAAACAAAAAGTAAATAATAAATATACATACATATTTACATATTTACTATATATCCAGCATGTGAAATGTGCAAAAATATTTCAATGTATTTTTTCTCGTTTGTTGTCAAATGAAATTAGGCGTGAAATGTAGTTTGAACTTTGGCTAAAATATTATAGCAATGGAAATTTTTTGTTTTCTCTTTTACTGCCACAGTCATATAGACATATGTATATATATCCATACGTATGTATATATATATGTATGTAATTACATTATTTATTTTTTTTAGGCGCCACTTGCAATTTTTTTCTTATCGCTAAAAAATTTAAATTTATTGGCTTTGTTTTTATACACTTTCACGAAGTGAAAAGAGTATATTATTTTGTTTTGAAAAGATATTAAGCTTATATATATCACCCATTTTTCGGTTAGAGTAAATCAGTTTATTTCGTTTATATTATAAATTGAGCAAATTTATTTGATTTACAATTATTTCTCAGTCGCGCCTCCTCTACTGCAATGATCTTACATTGCTCTTCCATTGAATATTGTGCGAATTATCGTTGCTTAGACCATAAATGATATATCGCTTGGGCAGCGCTTGTTGCCAGGCACATTTAGTCGGCGATATCAAAGTTGATATTCTTCAGGTAATAAAACGTCACTGCACTTCGCATTATCTCAATTGGCTGCAGCAACACGCCATTCTTATACCATGTAAATTGTATGTTAGGGGTATGGGGAAATGAAATTCATATATTTTAAACTTCTTTCTATAATAATTATTTAGGTTTCACTATGGAGATTTGATTTGAATTGCTTCATCTTTTAAAATGCCAGACATTAATCAAATTGTAATCATATGATGAAATGAAATTCTCATTTGGTTTATTTGAGCATCGCATATAAAGGTGACTTTTAGGTTTTCCCCAGTCAAGGTGCAAATTGATGTATTTATTTTTATATTCTGAACCCATTGAAAATGGGAAATCAGGGTATAATGGTTTTGTTAAATGTATGTAACATGCAGAAGGAGGAGTGGCAGACCCCATAAAGTATATATATTCTTGATCAGGGCGACGAGCTGAATCCATTTAGCCCGTTATTTTGTTATCGGTTAAAAACATTATCGAAAACCAGTAATAAATTTATATCTCCTACATCTTTAAAGCTAGAGTCTCTAAATTTTTTTATATATATTTGTATATGCATTTTTTAAAATTTCGGTTTTTGTTGTTGTTGTTTTTTTTTTTTCAAAATTTACCCCCCACCTCTAATTCACCCCCTCATCATTATATTTGTAAAAGGCGTATTTCAAGTACTAGGGACTTGTGCTTTGCCAGATACATTCATATACATATATGTTATATTCATAATCTGAAAGTTTCAGCTATTAAACAATTAACTTCCCATAGTAATCCCAACTGCAGCCAATGCGTGTGCGTGTATGTGTGCATATGCGAATAATTATTAAAATATCAGTTGCTCGAAGGGTTCAGGGATCTCGTAGTCGGGCAGTCTCGACTAGAGCTTTCTTACTTGCTTAGAATTAATTTGTTACAAAATGGGTATAAAATCTTTAATTTAAGAGCTTGTTGTACTCGTATTTCCTTCTTTTTTCAATTTCGTGTATATACAGGGTATATGTCATTTATAGCTGATAGTCAACCATTCTCAAGTACTTTTAAAGAGAGTTCTGCTTAGACAAAGCAACAATTTTTAATTTGATTTACGTTGCAGTGCCAACGCATTGGCATTACCAATTTTAGAATTTTAAAGGGTATCTCCGGATCGATCATTTCTGACAGGTGCTGCATAGTGCTTATTTTACGTGGTTAATGAATTTGTGGCGAACGAACTAGGCACACTAGAAGCCCAACACGTTAACATGGCCAATGTGCAGCAGTTGCTGTTGCAGTTGTTGATGTTGCTGCTGTTGCTGCTGTTGCTGCTGTTGCTGCTGTTGCCTGCATCTTAAGTTGCATTTATATGCAAATAACTTAAATTGTTTTCAATTTGCCTTGGCCACTGCATTCCTTGAGCCGAGTTGCAGCTAATTTTATGGCTAATTGTCAGCTCGCCTGTTTGCCGCTCCTGCTCCTGCTCCTGCTGCTGGTGCTGCTGGTGCTGCTGCTGCTGCTGTTGGTCGATTGTTGATTGCTGATGAAGTTGTGATATTTGCGATAAAAAAATGTATGTGATAAAAATTATAAAGCGTCGATAGTTATGGCCAAGAATTTCTTAATTGCCAGTGGCAAAGCATGCTAGCCAGCGAGGCAGCAATGCAGCTAGCCGGCCAAGCAGGCGGTCGTGGCCAATCAATTGGCTAAAAGCTTTGTATTGAAAACAGGACGACAGACAAAGTCGGACAAAAATGTCAAAAGCTTTTAAATAGATATCACCGTTTAGCAATTAGTTTCTGCTTAAGTGTCGACAAGTCTCAGGTTTTGACCTAAAAACTCAATTTTATTTGGCATTTTAAGAGCCTTCAGCCTTGGGTCTGTAAGACGAATTGTTGCGACCCTTCAGCCTTATCCAATTGGAATTTATTTTTATATAAATATCCATTTTCAATTTCCTTGACACACAAAGTAAACGAATCGGAAATGAATCAAGCCAAACGAGATGCGAAAATACATTTCGTGCTGCCTTCTGCTTCAGTTTGCAATTTATTTAAAAATATAATAGATGATTAAATACATTTTTCAGAAGCTTTTCATTTGCCAAGCCCTTTGGTAATTTTTTTGGTAATTTTTTTGGTTAGATCGAGCTAACGGTACCCTAACTGCCTCTAAAGAGGCGTAAAAATTATTTTTGGGTCATCGATATAGGAGATTACTAGTAACTTAACTATCTAAATTTCAGCTAAATTAGCTTCCATCTAATATCCTCTAGAAGATATAAACATTTGCGGTTTGCAAAGCTTTTTGGTCTTGGGTGTCAGCCCGAGTATATAAACAAAACTTGAGGTCTTAAGCATCAATAGTGTCCAAAATATAGCAGAATTTAAAAAATCACTATATCTTCAGGTCCGATTTGCCACGTCCCCAGTGAGCGTTAGACATATAATTTCATATCTTTATAGAATCATAACATTAGCTCATGTGCAAAATTTCAACGTTCTTGCTTTAAGACTCTCGGAGATACAGTTATATCCATTATGCCACGCCCCTTGTGGGCGGATCGAGAAAATTTTAACACTTTATAAATCTGAGACTATACACGAGTATGTGCGCCGAATTTCAAGTCTCTAGCCTTAATAGCGCCAAAGCAAGTAAGAAAGCTCTACTCGAGACTGCTCGACTACGAGAATCCTTTGAGCAACAGCTATTTCAATCAGTTTTCGCGTCTTTCTGCGTACACAAGACACGCGCACACCCACAGAGATACGCACGCACGCAGTGTGCGCTTACTATGAGGACTTAATTGTTTAATAATTTTAAAAAAAAATACAATCTTCATGAAACTTTCAGATTATAGTTATAACATGGATATACAAAAAAAAAATGAATTTCCCATTTTCGATGG